CGGACTCCAGGATCATGACCTGAGCCAGCAGACGCTCAATCAACTAAGCCACCCAGGTGCCCCTGCTGTTGAGTTTAAGATTTTTTTTTTTTTTTGAGAGAGAGTGAGCAAGAGAGAGAGCATAAGCTGCAGGAAGGGCAGAGGGAGAGGGAGAAGCAGGCTTCCCGCTGAGCAGAGAGAGACCCCGACGCAGGGCTTGATGCCAGAACCCTGGGATCATGACCCAAAGCCGAAGGCACTTGCTTAACTGAGCCACCCAGGTGCCCCCTGCTGTTGAGTTTAAATTGAGGTTTATTTTATTTTATTTTATTTTTTTTAAATTTTATTTATTTGACAAAGAGAGACACAGCGAGAGAGGGAACATAAGCAGGGGGGGGTGGGAGAGAGAGAAGCAGGCTTCCCTCGGATCAGGGAGCCTGATGGCGGGGCTCGATCCCAGGACCCTGGGATCATGACCTGAGCCGAAGGCAGATGCTTAAGGGCTGAGCCACCCAGGCGCCCCTAATTTGAGCTTTAAACAGTATTGATGAACATTCTATCCTATTTCATTCATTCATTGGACAAATATTTAAGGTTCTGATCTATGTAAAGCATCAGGTTGGGTGCCTACTGAAAACCTACATGTCAAGGAATTTAGAAACCTATAAGCATATAAACACTGGGCAGGATTCTTCAAAAAGGTGATTTTTCGTGGCTTTAGAGTAATTCCTAATTGGAATGTGTTGTAAAATATGTAGGCCTTTTTTCAACTGTTGCATATTTAGACTGTTGTTTCCAGTTGTAACTCTTGTAAGTAAAATTGTGATTAAGATCTTTGTACATAAACTTTAACCACTATAATACAAGTAAAAAGTGATTTGGGAACAAAATTTCCTTGAAAATGATTGCAGATTGCTTGATCATATACAAACTTTGATTAGTCTTTGGCAGTCCTAGGCAGTTCTCCAAGACTGCTTTATACTTGGAATTATGCTGTTTCTTTGGGATATATACAGGGTTCAATTTTTTCTTAGTTTTGTGATGAGGAACCTGGGAAGGAAGACCCAGGACCCCCTGGAGGGTCTGATGAATGAAATAGCACTGGGGCACCTGGGTGGCTCAGTTGGCCTTCATTTCAGGTCATGATCCCCCAGGTCATGCTTCCTGCTCAGTGGGGAGCCTGCTTCTCCCTCCCTCTCTGCCCCTCCCCCTGCTTGTGCTCTCTCTCTCTCTCTCACTCTCTTTCAAATAAATAAATAAAATCTTAAAAAAAAAAAGAAATAGCTTCTCTTGGAGCTCTGGAGAAAGAAAAGATTGAGGAGCTGCTGCTTTTTTGTTTGTTTCTTTTTTTTTTAGAGTAATTTTAGGTTCACTGCAAAACCGAGTGGAAGGCAAGGCACAGAGATTTCCCATTTACCCCACCCCCCCCACCTGCCATCATCAGCCTCCCCCACCTGTGGGTACATTGGTTGTAATTGATGAACCTACTTGAACATACCGTAATTTCCCAAAGACCACAGTGACGTCAGGGTTTACCCTCGGTGTTGTACACCCCGTGGACTTGCACAGCGGTATCCATCGTCAGGATAACACGCTGACTAGTAGTGTCACAGCCCTGTCAGTCCTCCCTGAGGAGCTGCTTTTTCGCTGTGAGCACCGGATGGGTTGTCTCTGCTCTTGCTTTGCCGCCACAGGACGGATGGAGGCGCTCACAAAGGGTGACTCAGTATGCTGCTACTGTTTTAACACTTTATAGGATAATTCATGTACCGTACCCACTGTTAATTTACCCACTGTTTTTCAGTGTATTTACAGAGTTCTGCAACCATCACCATAATCTAATTTTAGAACATTTTCATCATCCCACAAACATGAGCAGCCATTTCTCATTCTCCCCTCCCCCCAGGCCCTGGCCACCCCTAATCTACTTGCTTGCTCTACAGATTTGCTTATTCTGAATATTTTATGTAAATGGAGTCCTACAGTATGTGGCGTTGTGTGACTGGCTTCTTCGACTTAGCAGCATGTTCTCTCGGGTCTTTGTGTTGTAGCAGGTGCCTGTACCTCATCCTATCCCCAAATAATATTCCATTGCGTGGGTACATCTTGTTCATTCACCTGGTGGACATTTGGATTGTTTCTACTTGTTTGCTATTATGAATAATGTCTCTGTGGACGCTTGTATCTGAGTCTCTGTGTGGCTGTGTTTCATTTCTGCCTGTGGCACATCCCTAGAAGTGGAACTGCTGGATCACGTGGTGCCTCTGTGCTTAGCTCTCTGGGCACTGCTCAGCTGTTCCCCCAAGAGGCAGCAGCACCTCACGTGCCCACCAGCAACGTGGCGGGGGGCCAGTTTCTCCGCATCCAGGGAAGCCCTTGCTACTGTGTGGCCTTTTGGTTTCTGCCATCCTGCTGGGTGTGAAGTGGTGTCTCAGTGTGGTTTTTTTTTTTAAGATTTATTTATTTAGGGGCGCCTGGGTGGCTCAGTTTTTAAGCGTCTGCCTTCGGCTCAGGTCATGATCCCAGGGTCCTGGGATTGAGCCCCACATCGGGCTCCCTGCTCAGCGGGGAGCCTGCTTCTCCCTCTGCATGCTGCTCCCCCGGCTTGTGCGCTCTCTCTCTCTCTCATAAATAAATAAAATTTTTTATTTATTTATTTGAGAGAGAGAGAATGAGAAAGAGAGAAAGCACATGAGAGGGGGGAGGGTGAGAGGGGGGAGGGTCAGAGGGAGAAGCAGACTCCCTGCCGAGCAGGGAGCCCAATGCGAGACTCGATCCAGGGACTCTAGGATCACGACCTGAGCCGAAGGCAGCCGCTTAACCAACTGAGCCACCCAGGCGCCCCAAATAAATAAAATCTTAAAAAAAAATTTTTATTTAAGAGAGAGCATGAGCAGGGGGAGAGAGAGATGCAGACTTCCTGCTGAGCAGGGAGCCCGATGTGGGGCTCAATCCCAGGACTCTGGGATCATGACCTGAGCCGAAGGCAGATGCTTAACCGACTGAGCCACCCAGGCGCCCCTCAGTGTAGTTTTGATTTGCATTCCTCGAAGTTGTCTTTTTCATTTTCTCGATAGTCTCATTTGCGGTACAAAAATTGTAAATTTTGACCAAGTCCCATTCTGTTTTTTTCTTTTTGTCTGTTACTTTTGGTACCATGTCTAAGAAGGATTTATCTAGCCCAGGGTCCTGAAGATTTATTCCTGTTTTCTTTGAAGAGTTTTATGGTTTTTGCTTTGATGTTTTAGGTCTGTGATCTGAGTTCATATTTATATGTGGTGTAGAAAGGGATTGACCTTCCTACTTGCTGGACATGTGGATAGCCAGCTGTTCCAGCACTATTTGTTAAAAAGACTCTTTTTCTCCCCATTGAAGTGTTTGGCCTCCTTGTTGCTGCTGCTTATTTTATAGATGCTTTCGGATGAGACTCTAAAACTCAAGTCCTCTCTTTTGCGGGGATGCCACAAGATTTTAAAACACATTGTGAGGAAATGAGTTGGCAATACTTTGAGACCTTTAGAACTGGTAGTCTAACTTTTCCTGTTAGAGCAGGAGCAAAAGAAACTATGAATAACAACGTTTTGTTTTGGTTTTTTTGCTTCATAGGGACATCCAGCGCGCTCACAGAGTGGTGGCCAGGCTGCAGGCCGGGATGTGCTTCATTAACAACTACAACGTCAGCCCAGTGGAGCTGCCCTTCGGCGGGTATAAGAAGTCAGGTGAGGCGCTGGCTGGCAAGCGCGAGGGCAAACCGGGTCTCTGGGGACATGGGTGTCATTCAGACCCTACAGACCAGCTTCCCAAACATGGCTGTGTATCAGAATCAGCTGGGACAGTGTCCTGATTCCTGGTCCTCCCCAGACCCACACAAGTCTCTGGGGATGGAAGCCAAGCAACTTCCCCCCTCCCCCAAAAAGCTCTCCAGAAGGTTCTGACGTGTATACAGCTTAGCTTGTGAACGGCTGGCAGACATCTCGAAAAAGTTTATCTCGTGGCTAGAATTAGTTTTTCTTCACAGTCTGTGATCGCTGGAGGCATAAATCCACTCCCAGAGGTTCCATACTAGGGATGGTTGTTGTCATCCACTGTGGAGCGTTTTTTAAAATTAAAGATTTTATTTATTTCAGAGAGGATGAGAGAGAGCATGAGCGAGGGGAGGGTCAGAGGGAGAAGCAGACTCCCCGCTGAGCAGGGAGCCCGATGCGGGACTCGATCCCGGGACTCCAGGATCATGACCTGAGCCGA